CAGAACTTCACTGCTGTGAGTAGAGACCTTTGTTTAATTTCAAGCCTGAAATTGATAGCCAGTTTATAACCTTTTCTCTTCTTTGGGCATTCTCCAGTTTTTCCAGAAATGTGGTGCCCGGAACTGCACATCATGCTTCAGTTGAGGTCTTATTGGCACAGAATAGAATGGAAAAAATACTTTCTCTTAGAACCTTCCTGCTAATACATCCCAAAATGCTTGCTTTTTTTACAACATTGAGGATTATTTGTCGTGTGGTTGGATCTAAAATAAATTGAAGGGAAACCAGGACACTCCAGGAAGACTTAACCACTTATTTATTGCAAGCTTTGAGCAGTTAATATAGGGGTTTAAATTTCACAAGCCTTAAACAATTACTATACAATTTAAACATTAAATACTATAAATTCTAAAGCAATTAATACAGTGCAAAGCAATGCAAAAGCAATTAATAGAAGGATATAATACAATAATTAAGCCTAGTTCACTTACACTTCACTGGTATGCTACCTACAGTACCAGGCAGAAGGTTGTGGTCCCTTTGATTCCTACCCATCGGAATGCCATGTACTGCTGTAGCCGGTATGAAGGGTCTATTTACTTATAGTTACATGGAGCAGGACCTGAGAGTCAATCTTGCTCATCACTCCCAAAGATTCTTCTTACTAAGCCCATTTTATACCGAAGTGAAAAGAGGTCATTCTGATAATATTTACCAGTTATTATGTATTATATATGATACCTAAAATGCCCAATACCCTTTTTGGTAGACATCCTGCTACTCAGGATGTTGCAAAAACTATGTGCATAGTTAACAGTTGTATGACTGCATCTGTAATTTTTGCTTATCAGAAATAGAAATGCCAGTACAAGGTTGCTTGTTGTGTGTTCTTGATGTGGTCTCCCATACCGTGCTTAATCTACATTATTCTGCAAAACGTTCCTGCCTCTCAAAGCTTCCCCAACCTTGCCTGGACTTGAGACGGTGAAACAGAACATAAACCAATTACAGTAACTTTTCCTGCATTTATACTAGAAATGGTTTTTTAGCTACTACACAGTAGTTATTGAACAGCTTTTTTTCTTTACTAGCACCAAAGTTTCAACCATACCATGCAATTTGGAGACTATTACCCCAAAATGAATTCACATGCTGGCAACTCTAACATTGCAGCAGCACATAATTGTGTCCCAGGTGCAAAAAATAGTACAAGTTGGGGGCTTTCCAGATATTGCATTTCCTCTTGCAGTAGAAGGAAAACATTCTCTCTCTTCTCCTCTCCCCCACCCCAATACCACCACCACACACCCCATACGAGTTTGTGGTTTAACATTTATATCCAGGGAATTGTTCCTTAATTTTTTAAAAAACATTACACCAACTGTTATGTATCTTGTACCAAACATTGGCTTGTCTGTGGTAAGAGGGCAGGTTTTCTTGCTCCTTATGACTTAGGGCCGCTTTTACTTGTATAGTGCACATTCCCCCCAATACACGCTCTTAGCGCACGTTGACTTAATTTCATATTTGCTTAAAAGCAATTAGAAGGTTGTGTATATTAATGCGTTACTTGCTTCGCTTATACAGGCAGTCCCCGGGTTACGTACAAGATAGGGACTGTAGGTTTGTTCTTAAGTTGAATCTGTATGTAAGTCGGAACTGGCATCCAGATTCAGCCGCTGCTGAAACTGATTAGTTTCAACAGCGGCTGAATCTGGACGCCAGTTCTGACTTACATACAGATTCAACTTAAGAACCCCAGGCATCCCCAAGTCAGCTGCTGCTGAAACTGATCAGCGGCTGATTCCAGGAAGCCTGGGGCAGGGGCTTCCTGTAGTCAGCCACTGGTCAGTTTCAGCAGCGGCTGACTTTGGGGCGCCCGGGGCAGAGCAGCCGGGGGGGTCCGCCGGG